GTAGGGTTCGCATATGGCCCCCTATTCCTGGGTCAGGATGAGGACGAGCCTGGGCCCTGCGGGACTTGCGGGGGGTCGCCTACGAGCCCCGCGTCCAGCGGCTCGGAGTGCGGCGTTTCGGGACGAGAGGAACGTGTGCCGTGCGTCGAATCGGGAGTCTTCGGGTTCTTGTCCGGTTGATGGACAGGCAGGTGGCTCCGAGGAGGACGGCAACCCACAAGGGGAGGCGCAGTGGGCTGCGCAGACTTCGAGCGGGAGCGGGCAGTTCGCCTGCTCGCGACCATGCGCTTTGAGCGGGAGCGGGCACAGTGCCGTTTTTGATACATGTTCCGCGTGCGGATCAAGTATTAAATATGCAGGGATTTAGTACTAAAAACAACGATGAGTTCATGCATCAATTTATTCGTATATTAATCATGTATTAAATCCAATCTTTTAAAATCCTATGTGTTCAAAACTGCCCTGTAGCTTGCATGCCCATGCTCAGGATGACGATGCCGACGATGTCGCATTTGCTGTGCCCGAGGAGGTATGGACTGCCACCGCGCGCAGGGCCTCCGACCGTGCCGTGCCCTCGCGACCGTGTCGTGGCCTGTGGCGCGGGGCTCCACCGCTTACAGCGTCGGGGAGGCGCACATCGGCGACAGCAGCCACAGGTACGATTAAGTCGGGCCTGTCCCCCTACAGTGGGATTTTCGACGAAAATTTTTTAAAAATGCTCCCAACATGGTCAAAACATAATCCCAAAATGGTCCGGGGACTTTTTTTTGTGGGGTATTTCTTTAAAACCATTTTTTTTTTTTCCTGTCGAAAATTCCCCCTGTAGGGGGACACAGGGCGCGTTTCGATTCTTACGATTCGATTCAACTCGATTTCGATGGATTCCGATTCCGATTCGACTCGATTTCGGATTCCGATGTGGAGTCCGATTTCTTATTGGAGGCATATTGGCCTGCCGATTTCCGCCGATTCGACTTTTCCCGATTCGGCTGCCGATTTCCGTCGATCCGATTCATGTCGATTGCCGATCCGATTTGTCGATTCGATTCTGGGCTCTCCTGGGGACACGCCCGACAGAAAGGTACGAGCCCACGTCGAGGAGGCCACCCTGCGGCGCCGCGGACCGGCCGCGACCCCCGCCCGTCCAGGCGCGCAGGCGCCTGGACAGGCAGGCGGGAGGCCGGAGAGCGCAGCAGCAGGCGGCCCGCCGTGGCGAGCCGCGGGAGGGCGCCGTGGCAGGCTGGTGGGCCCAGGTGCCCAGACCCCCTCGCGTTGTGAAAAAATCACGACGGGAGGTTTTTCGCTATTTTCGGCCTCTGGGGGCCCTTACCGGCCTTCGGGACCGTCAAAAAACGACTCAGAACGAGAAACCGGTCCCGGAGAAGGGGTCCAGACCTCTGGGGGTCGACGTCGTGAAAAAATCACGACGTCGGGGGTCTGGGTGGCCAGCTTGGCCACTTTTTTTGGGGTCGCGGCCGCGGGCGAAGAGCGCAGGCGGCGAACAGAAGCTGTCCGGGGCACGGAAACAGACCCAATCGGCTGCAGGGCGCAGCACAAGCCGGCCGGGCCAGCTCACAAGGCGGCAGCTGGAGCAGCAGGGCGGGGGCTGGACTAGCTTGGCCACGCGGATGGTCAGGTTCCGTCGTCGCCAGTACCCCGACGAGCAGCGTCGCCGCAGCCTGGCAGGGACAGCGCGGGAGCTCCATGGGCGCATTCCTGACGAGGCCCGCCGCCCCGTTCACAGCCGATGGGCCCCCTTTCCCCTGCAGTGGCGGCAGGCGCGGAAGGCGCTGAGGGACGTGCATTCTCTGTCGGATGCGCTGTTGAGCAAGCTCGAGGCCACGGCAGGAGCGGCCGCCCGACGCGCCCGTCAGCGCGCAGCGGCGGCGTCATTGGCGGAGTTTCGCGAGTGGGTGTCCACGTCCGCTTCGGAGTCGACGATCTTCCGCTCGCGGAAGCGGGCGCCGCCTCCAGTGGAGGAGCTGCTCGTCGACGGCCAGATGGTGGTCAGCCCCAAGGACCTGCTCGACGCCAAGGCGCGCAAGTGGATGAGCCTTGTGGCGCCCGCGGCGGCGGACTTCGGCGAGGCCGAGAAGCTGTTCGACGAGCTTCGCGAGCAGCTGGACCTCGCTGAGCTCGCCCCGCTCACCGTGGTAGACCTGCGGGCCGCGCTGCGGCGCATCGGCCGCGCGCAAGTCGCGGAGTCGACCAGTTGTCGGTTGCCGACATGGAGCAGCTGCCCGACGCCGGGACGGCCGAGCTAGTCGAGCTCTTCGCGGCGGCGGAGGCCACGGGCATTAGCCCTGGCAGGTGCTCCTTGTCATGGGGCGCTTGCTGGGCAAGAAGAATGGCGGGTACCGAGACATTGGGGCCCTCAGCGTGCTCACCCGCGTCTGGAGCATGGCTCGCGAGGCGGACATGCAGGAGTGGGCGCGCCAGACGGCGCCGGTGTGGGGTGCCGCCACGGCCGGCAACGCGGCGCTGCGGGAGGCCTTCGTCCGCGCTGTGAATGAGGAGGCCTGCGGCGTGCTGGGAGCAGCCTACGGCCATGGCCTGATGGACGTCCAGGAGTTCTACGACTCCATGGGGGCTGGGTGCCGCTGGGTCACGCTGCGGCGAGCCGGGGCTTCCCGCCTGCTGCCCTGGCCTTGGAGATGCAGCAGTGCATGGCAGGGCGCGTCCTCCTGCAGGACTCGGCCGCGTCGCTGGTCTTCCAGCCCGCGAGGTCCGTTGTGCAGGGCCTGCGGTCGGGCGCGCGATTCGGGAGATGCCTCACTTGTCGCACCTTGCATCAGATGGTGTTTGGGCCGCCACGCATGCTGATGCCTCGGATCGGGGTTGATGATCTGTCGCTGTCGCCGTCGACGATCTGGGCGCCAGCATCGTCCATCTCGGCCTGTTGTGGCAGCGGGAGGGCCTCGCGGTTTCGCCCAAGAGCGTGGTCTCCTGCGCTCGCCGCGCCGACGCGGTGAAGATCGTTGGATTCGTGCGGCGTCGCGGGCGCCGCGTCGCGGCCGCGCGCCGAGGCCCTCGCCTTGGGGGTCGACCTCGGGGCCGGCAGGCGGATGGCCAGGGTGAGCGCCCGCAAGCGCACGCTCGAGTCGGGGGTGGCCTGCGCCCGCCTGCGCGGCATGGCGCGAGCGGGCCGCCGCTGCGCGCGACGTGCTCGCGCCGAGCAGGTCGGGGTCCAGACGGCTGCGGCCGACGGCCGCGAGGTCTGCGGAGCCTTCGGCTTGCGGATGCTGGAGCGTAGCTTCGCAGGCAGCTAGGCGCTGTGTCGGGCGCGGCGCGCTGCGGGCGCCGCTTGGCGCCCCGGCTTCTCCTCCGCGCTGGGCGCGGGGGTTCCGCGCGCAGATTGCCGCGGGAGATGATCAGCTCGTGGTTCTCCGCGTGGCGGCGCTGCCCAGGCCCGAGGAAGCGGATAGCTGAGGCTTGGACTCTTGTCCACGATTGTCTGCGTGAGGCCGAGCTTAGCCAGGGGTCTCGCCTGCTCCGTGGGCCCGTCTCAGGTCTACAGTGCTACCTGATGCAGTTCGGGTGGAACCCCGTGGGCCCCGCGGGCTGGGGGCGCCGCTGTGCATATGGATCGCGCGAGCGCTGGGCCTTTCCAGGTGCGGCTAGTGTCGACCGCGGCTCGATGGAGCAGCTGCTTGCCGCCGTCGACGATTCCATCCAGGAAGGGCTCTGGCGGCAGGCGGCGCAGCGCTGGTGCGGCTCGGGGCTCGAGGGAGGCGTGGGCGTGGCATCCCTGCGGGAGCTGCCCGGCGTCCTAGGCCGCCTTCCCGGCGGCGCTGCGCTGGAGGAGCTCGTGGCCGCGATCGCCGTGGGCGGCGGCTGGCCCAGGCGGCGGAATTGATACGTTCGGGGCGGCCGTCGACGCCACTTGCCCCAGGTGTTGGCGGCCCAGTGCTCTTCGGGCCCGACGATGTTCATCTCGGACAAACTCTCAGTGTGAAGGGTGGTGGGCCCAGCGCGATGCCGCGCCGCGCGGCCCAGATTCTGATCAGTGGCGGGCGCTGGCGGCTGTCTTCGGCGTCCGTCCGTGCAGCGAGTTCGTGGTCTTCCACGCGTGCTCGCACCTTGAGGTGGGCGAGGCCGAGCAGCGGCGCGTTCCGCAGTGAGCAATCCGTGGCAACGCCGTCGCCGACGTGTTTGCGGGCGTCGCGGCCGAGTCTATCAGGCTTCCTGCCGCTGTTCTCCAATGCATTCATCGCGCCGAGCGCGATGCCCTCCACGTTCGCCGGAGCCTTCTTCGGGCCACGCTGGACGCCGTGGAGGCGTTGGGTGAGGCGCCGAGGCCGCCAGCCGCGCGCCGCCTGGGCGCCGCGCCACGGCCCTGTTCAGCTCCTCGCGGGCGGCAGCTGCTCGCGGTGCCGCTGTTCGGCGTCGCGCGCCGCCCGCGTGGAATGGATGCAAACCCCGTGCCCTGGACTCCGTGCCGTTGGCCCCGACCTGTGCGAGTTGGGCGGCGGGCAGCGGGTCCACGTCGACGGCGGCGAGCCGCGCGGGTCTCACGCGATGGCGCTCCACGCGGCGCTGGACTTCTGGTATTGCCGCTGCTGTGGTTTCTTCGCTCCAGCTTCTGGACGCCATCTCGGGCGCGGGCTGAGGGGCGAGTGCCCAGCCCGAGGAGGCGGCCGCCCCACTACCACGGGCAACAAAACTGCCCGGGCCGCATCGTGCGCTGCCTGTGGCCGAGGGCTCTGGGGCGCGCCGAGGCCGCCCGCGCGGCAGCCGCAGCGGAGGCTGCTGCGGCCATGCCCACGGTGCAGGGCGCGGAGCTCGCGGAGACGCGGGCGTTTCGTTAGGGGGCCACATGCGAACCCTACCCCTACCCCCCACGATTTCTGTGGGGGAGGGTGGGGTTCACTTCGCTCGGGAGCTCCCTAGCTGCGGCCATGCCCACGGTGCAGGGCGCGGAGCTCGCGGAGACGCGGGCGTTTCGTCCAACCCGAGACCTGAGGCACCTCTTCGGTTCTGCCCGCAAGCATTCGGATGGCCTCTCGGAGGTCCAAGGCGCCGCGGCCGCTGGGCGTCTCATCGACCGGCGGGGACGTTTCAGTCTGTCAACTTCACTCCTCCTCCTCCTCCTCCTCCTCCTCCTCCTCCTCCTCCTCCTCCTCCTCCTCCCTCCTCTTTCTCCTTCTCGTTCTTCCTCCTCCTCTGCCTCCTTCGCCTCATCCCTTCGAAAATCGACATCCGGACGTCCTCTCCCCTCGTCCTCGTCCTGCCCCGTGGAGAAAGAGGAGGGAGGATCGAGACTCCAAGGCTGAGGCTGTTAGATATTTTCGGGCCTTTCTTGGGCCTCTTGGGGGCTTCTCGTCGCTGCGGTTGCGTCCGCCTCGAAACTTCTGGTGAGAGCGCGCCACAGGCAACGTCCAGGAGGTCGAGTTTTGAGGGGAGGAGGAAGAGGTGGAGGAGGTGGAGGAGGTATAGGGGGAGAGGGGGAGGAGGATACTTAAGGAGGAGCCTCCTCCCCGCCTTCCGTTCAACTCCGGCTCCTGCTCTTCTGGCTCCTGCTTCCCTCGGGGAACCTCGAACGGCGTGGTGACCACCCCGCGTGGTGAGTCAGTGGGGATTCGGGGTCACCGCGCAGTTCTTGGACCCAGGTCGTTTTCCGAAGGCGTCTCGGGCGGCTGGGGTCTCCGAAGTCCCAAAACCGTGCGGTAACTGCACGGTGAGGTGACCAGGGATTCCGAGGTCACCACGCGGTGCGCCACCACACGGTTTTGGGTCCCCGAGCTCTCCCTTCGCCCCCCATCTTGGCATCGCTCGGCCGTGTGCATCTCATTCTCGGCGTGGACCATCGAAGAGCATCCTGGACCATCTTGCAGACAGCTGCACGCACGAGAGCGACGAGAGTGCACGGGAAAATGGACGTCCGACCGACGCCAAGCTGTCCTCTTACGAGCGCCGCCCTCACGAATGCACGCGAGTGTGCCGAGTTCGGCACTTTACAGCACAACTGTCTCCGTTCATTCGCCTTTGAGCTCTGACGTGGTCGTATATGTATATATATATATATATATATACATACACATAAAGTCTCCTCTCTCTTGCTCCCCCTCCGCGCACGCTCCCGCTCCCGCTCCTGCTGCCGCCGCTTCCGCGGACGCCTCGTGTGCACCGTGCCGCGTTGGCGCCTCGCGGGGCGTTGTGGATCCTCGGCCCCGGAGTGGTGCGGCGCCCAGGTTTAGGTCGGGCATGTCCCTCTACAGGCGGATTTTTGAGGAAACAGGGCAAATAGTCAAAATATATTTCAAAATCGGATTAACATAATAGAAAAACGTCCCCCTTTTTTTTGTGATAAGCGTCCCCAGATTTTTGCGGAAACGTGAGAAATAGTTAAAATATATGTCAAAATCTTATTACAATCATTGAAACAAGCGTCCCCAGACCATTTTGGACTATTTTGGGATCTTCCTCCTTTAAGGGACACGCCCGAGGTAAGCTTAGTTTTTCAGCCCCTGGGAGCCGACACGCATTCTGTAGCGTGCCGCGCTGCAGTGGCGCCTGAAGGGAGTCCGGTCCAGACACGGTGCGGTGCACGGGCCCCGTTCTCGTACCACTCCTCCTCCTGCTCCTGCTCCTCCTGCTCCTCCTGCTCTCCAGGGTCTGGAAAAGGTCGGGGGTGGACAGAACCCCCACCCTGACACGTCGATTAGTGGATTGTTTATTTTCGGTCCTCGAGAGGGCGCCGCGGCCGTCATTTTCCAGGCTTGCGCCCGCCAGGTTTGGGCCCGAGGTCGTTTTCATTAAACCACGTTTTACTGGAGGGGGTTCTGTCCATCTCCGAAAAGGAGATAGTGAGAGAATTGAGATAAACTGGGGCACGTGGGACGACGTGTGAGAATGTGAGGAGTGGGCGCAGTGGCTGGCTGCGCGCTAAGGACGCGTTGCGGCACGATCTCCCCTCTCTTCGGAGCGTCCGCGCAAGGGGAGCTGTAGCTGTACACTGTAGCTGTCCTGCTCCTTCCGCTCCGCCCCGTTTCTCCTGTCCGCGCGCGCTCCGCGCGGCTGCGGGGCGCCGTGCGCAGGCTGTCCGCTCTCGGAGTGTGTGTGTGTGTGTGAGAGAGAGTGTGCTTCGTGCGTCTTCATCCAGCTCCTCATTTACCTGCTGCTCTTACCCTTTCCCCTCCTCCTCCTCCTCCTCCTCCTCCTCCTCCTCCTCCTCCTTGCGCGTCGGTCTCCTTGTCCTCCGATTCGCCCTGCCGCCCCGAGTCTTCGCGGCCCAGGCTTTACGCTCACCAGCGCGCGGCCCGCCGGCACGGCGGAGGGTGGCCGCCGAAACCGTAGCCTTCTCGGGTCCGCCGAGTGCTTCTGCCGTCGGGTCTGGTGATTGTAGGCTTTTGGTTAGGGAAGCAAAAAGTGGCATAAACATAAAAACTCGGAGGTCCGCGTGGAACTCTCGGATCGGAGCTGGGACCCCCTGGCGGCGCCTCCGGCGCCGCCTCTGGCGCGCTCCGCGCGCCAGAGATGGGGGTCCAGCGCGGATCCAAGAAATCCGCGCGGACCTCCGAGTTTTCATGTTTATGCCACTTTTCGTTTCCCTATTGGTGTGCACGCAGAGTGGCACTGGGCCACGCCGCCCCTGGTTCGTTGACGCAGCAGCCGCCGCGCGCCGGGCAGCGGGGCCGGCCATGCCACACGCTCGGGGAGCGCTCTGACCCCTGAGCCGCCCGCCCCTTTTCTCGTTTTCCTTTGGCCGCGTCCCTCCTCCCTCCCCCCCAGGGGCAATGCGCGCGCCAAGAAATCTTGTAGTACAAGCTCCGTGCTGGGCGCGCTCTGGCCATGCCGCTCGGGAAACGATGTGCGTCAAGATGGTTGTACTGGATGTTCGGGTCGGACGCACGCCTCCAAGGAGGACGCATCGTACCAGTATGTCCTTGTGCGTCCCAGGGGGACGGGGGCGAGGAAGCGTCCGAAGCGAGAGCCCGTCTCGCGTGTGTTTTTCGGAGCGAGCCTGGCCAGCTCAGCGCAGGCACTCAGACTTACTTCGTCGCCGGCGACAGCCTCGGTGGCGTCGCGGTCTTCTTCCGCAACGGCACCCTGAAGGGACGCGCCCTCGTTACCGAGGACAGGGGGGGATGACTGAGGAGGAGGGGGAGGAAGCACATGAGGAGGGTGATGGGGGAGGGTGCGAGTGGACGGGGGGGAAAAGAACAGTGATGGGCAGGATGTTGGAGGCTGGAAGTGGTATGGTGGAGGGAGCAAACGTGGAAAGGGGACGGAGGGAGGAACGGTCGATCTGCATGCTTGCTGAAGCCAGTGAGTGTGTGTGTCAGGTCGACGAGGGCAGGAGGACGCTGGATGGGATCATCGAGAGGCTCGACTCGTATCTTCGCTCGGGCCTCCGATGGCAAGACACGCAGCGAGAACGTCGCACACACGAGTGTGTACTTGAAGCACCACGTGGCCTCCCACCCTCCAGTGTCCACTTCGATCGGGTCGACCCGACTCGATATCTGTTTCGGCCGTTTCGATCCGATTCGATTCTGATACTCCGTCGGAGGAGGAGGGGGAGGAGGGGGAGGAGGAGGAAGAGGAGGAGGAGGCGACCCGATGTTTGTACGGCGCTGTTGTGCCCTCTGGCGCAGCCGATCCGATTTCGATCGATTCCGATTCTGTGCCGATGCGGCCCGATTCGGCGCGCACTCCGATCTGATCCGGCTTCGGGATTCGATGCTGACTGATCCCGCCTTCTCCCCTGGCACCGCTCGGGCGTGTGCGTTTTTCTCGGCGGGGACCATCGGGGAGCATCTTGCATCACCCTGGGGGAAAGAGCGCGCACGCAATCGAACAGTGCACGGGGAATGAGGGGAACAAAGAGTGACGTAAACATAACAACTCGGAGGTCCGCGCGGATTTCTCGGATCGGCGCCGGGGCCCCCCGGCGGCGCCTCCGGCGCCGCCCCTGGCGCGCTCCGCGTGCCAGGGAGGGGGGTCCAGCGCCGATCCGAGAAATCCGCGCGGACCTCCGAGTTGTTATGTTTGTGCCACTTTCTGTTCCCCTGTGGACGTCCGAGCGATGGCGGGCCCTCCTCCTCCCGCGCCCGCTCCCGCTTCGCGGCCCGAGGACCCCGGCGGGGTGCGCGGCCTGCTCCACGCCCAGGGGGGCTCGGTGCTGTTCTACAGCTCCCGCTCCTTCGGCTTCTTCTCCCCCGCACAGGTCGATTCTGCTCAGTCCTCCTCCCCCTCCCTCAGGAGTGAGTCAAAGCCACACATGCACAAAGAAACGGCGATTCCCAGGAACATGTGGTGGGACAATATGGGAAGTGGAGGGGGAGACGAACATCCTGGAGATTTGGAGCATATGGGGGATCTTGGGATTTGTGTCTATTCAGTTGTGTGTCCCTGGGCCCCTTTATCCTCCTCCTCCCACTTCTTCAGTTTCTTCTCCCCACAGCAGGTCGACGTGCTGTACCCACCGTGCTCTGGCTGGCACTCCCCTGTCGTGGATGTGGTCATGGACCCCAGCGCCGCGTCCTCTCGAGTCGTGCTCGCCCTTGCCGATGGCGATGTCCTGGTGTTCTCTACAAGCAGTGGCCAGACCAAGGTGGGAGGAACATGATGCTCGTTAACGGTGGTGGTGGTGCTGCTGCTGATGATGATGGTGCTGCTGCTGGTGCTGCTGCTGATGATCCTGCCGATGATAATGATGATGCATATAATTTTGATGAGGATGATGATGATGATGATGAGGAGGAGGAGGAGGAGGAGGAGGAGGGGCAGGGAGGAGGAGGAGGAGGTCGAGGAGGAGGAGGAATCAACATTGTAATTGTATGAACCATGTTATCACCATTATGAGTGTTAACAGAAGAAAAGGCGGCACAGCATGAGTAAAACTAATATCAATATTACTAATGATAGACATCGTAAGACAAGTAACACTAGTCACACTACAATACTAGTAGTATGAAACATCCGAATAATACGCATCACATCATAGTACACCTACTACTACTACTACTACTACAACTGCGACTACTGCAAATACTAC